ATATATTTAGTTTTTGAAAATTCCACATAACTTTCATTTGTTTCTTTATAAAATACCCTTAAAGTTAAAGGGTTCAGAATTTGAATGAAAAACCTAAATCAATTTAAAATTCATAGGGTTGGCATTTACAGTTTGGTGTGTTTTTAAAAATGTGCACAACTGAAGGATTATTATAAATTGCAGTTTTACTCCAGATGATAATGTTTAATTTAGTGATTGCATAATTAAAATTAACATATGAAACTTTTAAGTCAACAAACAAATTATGCGAGATAACCTGATCCTATTGTATACTGTCAGTCTCTGTGAAAGTTGCAGAACTAAGGTCCTTCTTTATTTAACTTTTATTACCGAAGCTATTCCTATTTCTTTTATATCTGAAGCTCTCGACCTTGACCTCTCAGCGGCTTTAAACATTTGTTAAGTTCCTGGCAAAAAACAATTCAGACATGTTCCTGTTTTTAGTTTTCTACACCGCCTTATAATCTAGATGTTTTTGTTTGCTACTTTTCCTTTTGACTGTTCTTTGGGTTGTTATTTTGTTTTGATTTGTAAAATAAACAAAAAAAAAATACATTTGTATGCCTCTTGTGTGACTGGCTATTGTTGTCGTTGTTATCCACTGTTGTCGTCACTCTTTGTTAAAGAAATCAGGTCTCTCTTGTAAATGAGTCCCCGAGGTTCAATGGGATTAACCTGTCTAAATAAAGGTTGAATGAAGAAAAATACAGAATAGATATGCTTTATCCATTGGTCCACACAGAAAGCCAGAGGTTTTTGGCCATTTTTGGTTTTGTTGGTTCCAAAAGCGTATCATGCTTTATACATATTTTAATACCCAGAGTAGTACAAAGCTTAGTTTTTTTGTTTTTTTTAATCACAGATCAAGTTTGCAGGGTTATCACTAGCTATCTTAAGTTACTAATTAAGTTACTAGTTAAGTTAGGCAGCTTAATATCTCCGCAGGGAGGAACTGACAACAAGGTCCTTATAATTCCAGTCAGTCTAAGCCAATATCAAAATCAGCTGTGGTGGAATGGCTCCGCCCTGCCACTCAGTGGCTGCATGGAAGTGATTAGAGCAAGATTTATTTTTATTAACTCCTGTTTTACTTCAAGTTTTTAAATCTTGGTCTGTGCTGTATCTGTTAAGAAAGGAGACACAGCAACCTACTTTTGTGCATGCCCACTTTCACTTTGTGTCCTTGGGCCTCATGTACAAAAGGTTGCTTATGTACAAAAACATGGCATACACCCATCTTCATTCTCCAGCTTCGAGGTGACTTTATTTGAGGTGGGTCGCTCACACCTCATGCTGTGCGCTGTCATCTACAGAACCCCTAAATATAATAAGGATTCCTTGAATGACTTTTCTGATTTCCTGACTGGAATAATGATAAACTATGATCGAGTGCTTATTGTTGGGGATTTTAACATACATGTATGCTGCCCAGAGAAACCACTGGTGAAGGACTTTCTCAGCCTCACTGACTCATTTAACCTGGTTCAGTGGGTGGCTGGTCCAACACATGAATATGGACACACGTTGGACCTGGTTCTATCTCACAGCTTGTCTGTGAACGACCTGGAACTATATGATAATGTGATTTCTGACCATAGGCCTGTTTTATTTGATGTTGGTTTGTCCTGTGCTCCAGTTAAATCCTGCGCTCCTGCCCAGCGACGTAGAGTTTTTAACCCTTCCACTGCTGGTCAGTTCTCTGCTGCCTTTGAACAGCTGTGTGCTCCCTCTGGCTCTGCTGTTGACCCAGAACAGCTGAGCTCCTGGTTTGACTCCTCCTGTCAAACCATTTTGGACTGTGTAGCTCCATCTAAACTGGTGCGGCCTAAAGCCAGATCTGAACCCTGGTTTAATGAAAAAACTATTGCAGCCAGACAGGAGTGCCGCAGAGCTGAACGGAGATGGAAAAAGGATAAACTGGAGGTTTCATTTTACATTTTAAAGGACTGTCAACGTCAGTACCAGAACACTGTTAAAGAGGCCAAAAAACAACACTTGTCAGACATTATTGTGTCCAATCATAATAATCCACGTGTCCTTTTTAAGACTATTGACTCTGTCCTGAAGACCCCACAACCTGTCTGTCTGGAAGCCTCTACTGAACTTTGTAATGACTTCCTGCAGTTTTTTATAAATAAGATTGTTACCACAAGGGCTCTTATTTCAGCCCCTGCTTTTGACCCCTCCTGCTTGGTCCCCTGCCTGGCTGTGTTCGAAAGATTTGAACCAGTGACCCTGACCCTTTTAGAGGATGTGGTCGGCCATATTAGACCATCAGGTTCTCCTCGTGACCTTGTCCCCCCTCGTCTTTTAAAAGAGGTGTTTTCCAGCATCAAGCAGGTGATTCTTGCTGTTATCAATAGCAGTCTGTCCTCAGGTGTTGTCCCAATAAGTTTTAAACATGCTGTGGTGCAGCCCCTGCTTAAAAAGCCTAGCCTAGACCAAACTGTCTTGGCTAATTTTAGGCCCATCTCCAAGCTGCCTTTTATTTCAAAAATTTTAGAAAAAATTGTATATTCACAAGTCAAATGTTTTCTGGATGAGCACTATTGTGCTCATGGTTTTTCAGTCTGGCCTCAAAACTCACCACAGCACAGAATCAGCTCTAGTCAGAGATTTTAATTATATTTTTATGGCTAATGATTCTGGTGAACATGTGATTCTTGTCCTGCTCGACCTAACAGCTGCCTTTGATACCGTGGACCATAACATTTTAATATCACGCTTACAGCGCCAAGTGGGTATTTGTGGTACTGCACTGAGCTGGTTTAGGTCCTATCTGGCAGACAGAACCATGTCTGTCAACATAGCTGGGTCTGAATCCTCCACTGCTCCTCTGTGTTTTGGGGTTCCACAGGGCTTTATTTTAGGTCCCCTGCTTTTCTCCCTTTACCTGCTTCCATTGGGATCAATCCTTAGAAAGCATGGGATCTTTTTTCATTGTTAAGCTGACGATAGTCAGATCTATATGCCACTTAAAAAGAAAGATGCCCCCTCAATTAGGCCACTTCTGTTGTGTCTTGAAGACATCAAAGCCTGGATGTCTTTAAACTTCTTAAATTTCATTGAAAAGAAAACAGAAGTGATGGTGTTTGGTCCTAGTGGCTCTTGTGAACCTTGCCCTGTTGATCTGGGCCCTCTGGCACCACATGTAAAGAAAACTGTTTCTAACTTGGGCTTTAAAATGGACAGTGATTTTAAATTAGATTCCCAGATTGGAGCGGTGGTCAAGACCAGTTTTTATCACCTCAGACAGCTGGCTAAGGTAAAGTCCATCCTTACAAAACAACATCTGGAAACAGTAATCTATGCCTTCGTCACCTCTCGGCTGGATTACTGTAACGCTCTTTACCTTGGAGTCAGCCAGTCCTCCCTCAGACGCCTCCAGTTTGTCCAGAACGCTGCTGCTCGGCTTCTAACTGGAGTTCAAAAAAGGAGCACATCACCCTCACTCTGGCTTCACTCCACTGGCTGCCTGTTCATTTTAGAGTTCATTTTAAGATTCTTTTATTTGTTTTTAAAAGTTTAAATGGTCTTGCTCCATCCTACCTCTCTGAGCTGCTTCACCCATACTCTCCTGCTCGGTGCCTCAGATCAGCTGATCAGCTGCTCCTGGAGGTGCCGAGGTCTAAGCGGGGGCTCAGAGGGGACAGAGCTTTTTCTGTTGCCGCTCCAAGACTGTGGAACGATCTCCCTCTTCCCATCAGACAAGCCCCTTCACTGTCCAGTTTTAAAACTCTTTTAAAAACACATTTTTACTCCCTGGCTTTTAGGACACACTGAATTTGATCTGCACTGTTTTTATTACTTTTATTGATCTTGATGTTTTAACAACTGTTTTAATGTGTTTAAATGTTCTTGATTTTATATGTACAGCACTTTGTGGCAGCTGTGGTTGTTTTAAAGGGCTTTATAAATAAAGTATTATTATTATTATTATTATTTTCAAGCAAAAACCTCAGATGTATCAAGAATGAAATGACTGTAGTAATGTGTGCAGCCCCATGCCAACTTCACGATGTAAGCAAGTTTATATGGTTATTGGTCCATTGGCAACACTTAGTGGTGATACTGGGAAACTGTTAATAATGTGAAAACTATTATTGTACACACTGGACACACATTATGAACAATGAATACATCCACGTGTATGCAATTAGATGAGTGGATATAAAATCATGAGCAAAGTGGTGCAGAAAATACTTATAAATAACAACAATGGTTTTAATCTTATTAGAGAATATAGCAAATGGCGCAAAACACAGAGAGCGTGTAGATAAAGACAGGATTTTTTTTGGCCCATGATGATAACTGGTTAATCAGCCATTTAAGGCTTCTAAGGGTAATCTTTTTGGAACTGTGCTTAGAGCTGAAGCTGGTCGTGGAGTGTGACACAGCAAGGAGCCGTGCCCTGCCCTTACATATACAGGTACAGCTGCTGACCTCACAGGGGTTCCTAGCAACAGGGGCATTCCAGAGGGAGCTGGCAGACCGATTGGGACTGTTCCAGTCAAACCTGAGCTGAGCCATGCCAGCTGTGTGGGATGGAACTATCTGTCTGTCAACCAAGTATATAAAGTTCTCTACAATGCAGTTGAACAGGCCAACATTAAAGCACAATTTACTGCAACAGATATCCTGATGCATGCTCAAAAATCCAGGTAGAAAAATCTAAAAAAGTTAAATCTGGTCCTCTGTACATTCAAAAAACAAAACAAAGCAAAACAACAAAAAATGTAGAAATGTTTCATCTTTCATCCGAAAGACTTCCTCAGTCTGAGGTGTTGTATTCAGCTCAGTCTTTTAAATAGCACCTTCTCAGAGTGGATCAAGCAGTTTTGCTGCTGACAATCAAAACCAGCTGCTCACATGGTCAAGAAGGACCATCAGCCTAATGATGGATCATTAGCACCCTGATGGCTGTTTACTATTCACAGAGGGCTGAGTGATACTAGCAATCACAGCATTGAGCCTTGGGGACTCATTTACAAGAGAGATCTGATTTTAACAAAGAGTGATGACAACAGTGGACAACAAAGACAACATAGACAATCATAAAGGATGCATACAAATTGAGAATAACAAGTGAAAATAAAATGGTATTAAAAATGTAACAAAAAAACAGCTAGGTTGTAAGGCGATGTAGAAAACTAAAAACAAGAACGTCTGTAGGGTTTCCTATTGCACTGATTATTGAGCATGCATCAGGATGGTCTGTAGGGTTTGCTTTTTTTTTTGGGGGGGGGGGGGGGGGGG